TTCCTGATCAGATGCTGACATGAAGAAATGTAAACCGGTGGAACTCAAATGTGGATTTGTGGTGTACATATGTGCTTAACCAGACAACTCTCTCTGAATGAAGCCACTGGGCTTCTCTTGTGAACTCTCCTCTTGTATCTGATGACAGAAGACAAGGATGCTGGAATCTCAGCTGGGTTGTTCTCTATCATTCTGTTCACTCCCCCACTGGTGTCTCCTTAATCTGACTGGAGCGGGACTGATTGCCATAAGCCAAGTCTCTCTCACTGGTTCTCTCCTCTGGTACCACAGCTTCCACACTCCTGATTTCACTGCTGACTTCAATCCAGTTCAAAGTGGAACAGGGAACAGGATTTAAAAAGACAAACAAAAAAACGAAAGCCTTTGCTACCCCTCCAGGGCTTCCAGATTCACCAATCTTTGATCACATAATCAGTCAATGGTCAACAGCAGTGTCCAGGGCGGGTCCGCGCACAATAGGTTGTGAATGGAGATGCGTTACTTGGAATTTAGTGCTGTCTGGGCACAAGGTGCCCCATAGGTTTCCAACTTTAAGGGTATAAATCTTGACGGCATCTAGAAAGGATTCTGGAAGGCAGCATGTGGAAGCGGCACTCCTATCCCTCCAGAGTGGAGACCTGCATATTAACTGCTCCACCCAGAGTGAGACCTGGTTCCCCAATGCCAGACACTGTCAATTATTTGCCTCTCATTAATTTAATAGGCTGGAATAGTCCTGGGTTGTACCGCAAAAACAGAAGTATTGTTATATTCTAACTCTGCTAACAGTACGGGCAGAATGAACTTTCCCTGCCGGACTTGAGCGCCTTCCTTAGTCAGCTTGTCTATACTGAATAGGACCTGCAGAATATCACCTCCCAGGCATAATACAGGCTGATTTCCTATTACGGGCTGCTTCCTGTGCTGGACACTTGAAACAATTCACCTAGCTAATGTTTGTTGAGTACTTACTATGTGCCCTGCACTTTTCTTAACATTTCTGTGTAATAACTCATTCAGTCCTTGAGAGAAGACTGTGACACAGGTAACACAACTGTTACAATTTTACAGAGGAAGAAGTTGACGCCCATGTTAAGGAGCTTGCCCTCAAATCGCATAGCACAGAAATAGTAGAGACGGGATTCGAACTTAAACTGTCTGGGTTCAGAACCCGCACTGTTAACTACTCTTCTCTTCGATGAGTCTCAGAGGCATTAAGTAGGAAAGGGTATGAGGCCCAGCCTACCAGCCATGGGAATCTGCGACATTTAGCCTCTCTGGGCCTGAATTTCTTCAAAGTAAAATTTAATTTTAATAACAATTCTTCTACCTACGTCACAAGGTTGTTAGACGATCACAGATATCAAATAAATCAAATGTTGCTATATATCAAATGCCAGTTCTCATCATCTTTATCACGGCCTCACAAATTGCCATCCTTTGGGTGTTAACTTGGGCCCCCAAAATGAAAACCAAAGTCCTTTGCTTTGCCAGTTAAATACAGGAGCAAAGACTTGCTCCTACTGCATTGCTATTGCAGCGCTTTTACCAGAATGGTCTCAGAAGAATTGAATAGGTAATGAAATTAGCCAACCCCACTAAGAGAAAGAGTGATAGTCGGCCCTAGAACAGGCTATGGAAAAAATGAGGTGTATCTTGTCTTCAGAAAGCCCTGAGGTCATGCTAGTCATCTGCCTGTGGTACACCAGGATATTAAAATAATACCACGACAATAGACTGAACACAGTTAACATGATGAAAAGGCAGATGAGATTAGACATAAAAAAGAAATGCTGCCTTTCTGTTAGAGACAGAAAAAACTGTTAATACAAATGAACAGCTGTTTGGGAAGAAAACATTATTTCCAAAACCCAGACAAAGCTCTATTTATTACATTTCAGAGACATTTAAATTATAGTGTCCGAAAAATGATCCTATCGTGGGTATCTGTGACACCTAAATTATTGGAAAATCTGAAAGGTAAAGCTGAAACAGAGGCTGTGTGAAAGACTAACATACAGAAAGTTCTTTTTCTGAAAGGATGAGGTGAATAAATCTTTTGCATGGGATAACTGAAGGAGTACTAAGTTTCAGGACTAAACTTTTTGAATATCCAATAGAAGAGTCCATTCAAAATTGATTTAAAGATGTTAATGTATGCTCTTCCAAAATTCTAACAGCAAAATTCACGACTCCATTGGCCTGTTGCTATTCCTGTGTTCACACTGGTTCTCCTGGCACGCTACTGCCTCCAGCTCCAGGCCTGTCTCAGATGCTCCACAGAAGGCCTGGTCAGCTCTCTCTGGCCACGGTGCCAGGCCAGGCCTGTCATGGGAGGCGTTGGGCATGGCAGCCACTGAGGCAGGCCTGGGCATGAATTTGTTCCCACCAGCCCTGACCCTCCCAAAAGAGACCATGACTCACCCGTGCCTTTCCCAGGGACTAGCATGTACCCAGCCATCTCTAGGCATTTCTAGAGAATAAACTGTCACACTTTAGTAAAAAAAATCTGGCTAAGGAAAAAGAAAGGAAACTGTATTTAGTCGGCCCTAGGGAAAGGGAAAGAATGATCAAATGATCAGTCACACTGGGAGTCACTGTTACAGCCCCCTAGAGGAGGAATGCGGTATCTCTGTCCAGTCAATTCAATGCAAATGCAGGAATTTGAATGGAAAAACACCACCTGGAAGAATGAATACTCAAGTCTATAATCAGCTGTGACAGGTACTGGAGCTTTCAATCTAGGTGTCCTCAGGATGGGGCGACCAGGACCTGAATGCAGTGGGTCATCCAGCAGGAGTCTCCCTCACCCTATGCAAGCACACTTGCCTGCCTGCCTTTTCCCTTCATCAACTTCTTGTTTATTGTTCTACCTTACTTCCTACACACCTCACAGGGTGTTGTGCAGCTCAGTTCGTTTGCGAAGGCTTGAGATTTTTCTGATGAAAGGTGTTATGGTGTTATGTAAATACACAGTATTATTTTGTCTTTATTCCAGCAATACTGGTTTGAAATAGTTCAATGTGTGTAAATATGTGTAATAATGTGTACTAATTTGATTTTTTTAGCAATTCCTTGGCATCCCAGTTAACTAAGTGGCAGCAACCTTACTTGCCTGATGAAATATTAAGTATAGTTTCAGAAAACTATTCATTGGTCTTTGTCCCTTTCAAATCAAATGCTAACTATATTAGTCGTCTAAGCACTTGTAATAATCTGCTTGAATATCAGAGAGAATTACCAAGTTGTGACCTCCCGTGAATAAAACAGAGGTATATGCAAAGGCCAAGGTTTATAACATAGCAACTAGCCCGCCCTAGAGGATGGGAACAGGTGTACAAGCTCCCCCAAAACAATTCGCGTAACTGGAAAACCCAAGTGTACAACATTCAGAAAAAGCACCATCAATGCCACCACAAGCTTCCAACTGTAATTTACAAAAATAAATATCACTTTTAGGGGCCGGGCGCGGTGGCTCAAGCCTGTAATCCCAGCACTTTGGGAGGCCGAGACGGGCGGATCACGAGGTCAGGAGATCGAGACCATCCTGGTTAACATGGTGAAACCCCGTCTCTACTAAAAAATACAAAAAACTAGCCGGGCGAGGTGGCGGGCGCCTGTAGTCCCAGCTACTCGGGAGGCGGAGGCAGGAGAATGGCGTGAACCCGGGAGGCGGAGCTTGCAGTGAGCTGAGATCCGGCCACTGCACTCCAGCCTGGGCGGCAGAGCGAGACTCCGTCTAAAAAAAAAAAAAAAAAAAAAAAATCACTTTTAGGATCAGGTGTCAAACGGGGCCATGTTAATTTTGATAGCCACTTCTGTTCTTCTCTAGGAACACTATTTCATCCAACCATGTTAACAATTTTGGGTCAAGAGGATATGAGCACAACAACCCAACTTTCCACACAAGGCTCTGAATGAGGGGCTATTTTCAGTCTTCTCTCTAGCCGGTGGCCCCTACCCCTGCTGGCTCTCACAGGAACACCGAGAGTTCACATCCACCCCTTGGATGGGTATTGCCAAGAGATTTCATTATTTAAACGGTCTATGTGGCCATGTGCCCTATTGGCAGAACGGTCTAATTACCCTCCCTATCAAAGATGTCGGAGTACTACTCATGCAAACAGAGTCAAAGGCACAGGCTCTGGACTTGTCACAAAGACGGGGAGAAGATGTCAGTGGATTACTAAAAAACTCAAAAAACTAATCATATGGTGAATTTAATGAGTAATATTACCATGGATAACATTTTTGTCACATATATTATTTTTTCCCTCCCAAGATAAAAATCTGGCTTTAGACCCATACTGTGAGTGGATTGTGCTACATTAGGCATTATAGGAAGCGGCTCCATCAGGTTGGTCTTGGGGCTGGACAGACACAGGAGCAGCCCCGGCTGGCTGGCTGGGCAGTCAGGAGGTCCAGCAAGGCACAGAATCATGCCCTCATATAGGGGATGTCAGGGCTGCCAGCCAGAAGTCATGTGCTTCTTCTCATTTTGGGTCTTAAGTCTAAAATCGTTTTCTAAAGTGTGCAATCCAAAAAAAGATCAGAAGAGAAAGGGCCTTAATCTCCTCTGCATACACTGCCTCTCCCTAGCCATCAGGTGTCGCCACTCTACAGAGCCCCTCTTGGTCTCCTCATGTTTACCTGTTCCTTCTTCTGTACCCTACACATGGCTCTTACCACAGTGCACTATGACTGTCTGCCTCCTGCACTAAAATGTTAGCTCCTTGAGAGTCAGGACTGAATCCTGCTGGTACCCATAGCATCCAGCACAGGGTCCAACACACGCGGCTGTTGAATGAAAGAATGCATTTTTAAGAACAGTATCAGTGGACTTGACTGTGTTTTGAAAGCTCCTGTTGGCCCTGGATCAGATGTCCTCACAGGGTAAGGGGAAAGATTTATTTATCTTTTAAAATAAACAGCTTTCAAAGAACCACTGACAAAACCATTTCCACCTTTGGTCGAAGCCGAGAGTTCGTTGCATGTGTGGCAGTCATATACTTTTTTCATCTTCCCAAGAGCCTAGGGTTTGTTTTTTTTTTTCTTCGCCAAAAGAAAACCAGATAAGAGAAGGCAAATGCCTTGGTGCAGAAAAGGCCTTGGGGACCTTCTAGGTAAACAATTTCGTGGGCAGCAGCTGGAGACCCGACAGCACTGTGATTTTGCTAAAGCTGTTGAAGCGCAATGCACACATAGATGCCGGTGTCTTCTGGCTGTACCAAAGGTAGGAATTTTAAGATAATGTGAAAAAAAATGTAATGTAAACTTGTTCTACTATTCATGCATTCATTGCATTCATTTTTGCTCAGCAAATATTTTCTGAGCACCTACAATGTCTTCTTTACTGGGCGCTGGGATACAGTGGAGAACAAGACAACCAAGGCTGCACTCTGAGGAGGTTGCAGAGTCGTTAGCAAGATGGCATTTGTGAAAAAGATGTGTGTGTGACAGTGTTAGGAGCGAAACCTCACTGGTTACTGTCCCTACCTTCATAGCCACACAGCCACTTACCTAAAAAGATATTGCTTTCTGTCATGTCTTTATATGCAGGAGATGACTTTTGCTATCATTTGTTTATGAAGGGTTATTTTTAGAGGCAGGGATGATAGGGACAAGAACACTGGAGCTCACCACTCCCCAGGTTCCTCCTCTTCTAGGTCATGCCTCCCAGTTCCTGCAGCTGGGTGAGCCAGGTGACTGAGTTCTGGCAAATGGGGAAGGGCAGAAAGTAGTGGGCCCAATCCTTGGCCTGGCCTCCACACCTTTCCTGCAGCCCCCTTCACTCCCTCTGTGCTACACTGATGCAGGGTTGAGAAGTGGTGGAGAGAGGGTAAGATAAAGTGAAATCTTAGAGTAAAGAACCAATGGGATAAGATCTCATCCCAAAGATGTTGTGTTTCACTTACCTGAAGTCCAAGTACCTCTTATGAGCTCTGACCACAGCGGCTACCAAAATATATTAGGTATTAGCCCTTCCCCTCAAAGAGGTCATGACCCTTTTGGGCTTGGAAAAGACCTTTGCACATGGGAAAAAGCAGTAAATATGTGTGTGAGGGCTGTGGGCCAGGTGAATCTTCTTAGAATTCAGAAGAGGAATTCATTCAAGAAAACATCTCCCTCGACTCTAAAGCATTGTATAGTATTGAGTTTTAAAAATGTACCATGGTACATTTAGATGCACCAATTGTCCAGAAATAAGGAATGGGATGAAAACGAAACAGACTGCCTCAGTGGTAACAAAGGTTCCAATGAAATAAATGTCGGAACTCAGCAGAATGGTCATGTAGCTCAGCTCCGTCTGGCTGTGCCAAGAAAGAGAAAACATCTCTCATCAGTGCAAATTTTTTGAAGATGAAGAAAATGGACTTCTGAAGCCTCTTAAAGACTCTGAAAGTCATGCCACAGACACAGTTAAAGGAACTGGTAACTCCTCAAAACCATGCTGCAGGATTAAAGCAAAGACTTCAGATGCTAACTCTCCCCAAACAGAATTCACGGGGACCTCGAGGTCAGTGACACCTTTCAGAGCACAGACTGGAATAGTCAGAGTGACCCAATGTACTCTCCCTCTGATCAACCTTATATTTGACTGCATTTTAGTAAATTATCCATGTAGTTGTATTTTGACAGCTCTCTTTACAGCAGTAAAACAAAATGTGTGCATCGCAAATGGCAAAGATTCAAATTTCAGCTATGTTTATCCAAAATAGCACTGAACTGCTTCTGTACTTATGCTATACTGCCTACAGCTTTACGGAAGGGAAGACAGATGGGATGAATTTAGCAGGGAAACAGCTGTGGCTTGAAGAAGAGACAAGCAAAAGTTTTGCTATCAGGCTTCATTATGTATCAAGGTACCAGTAAAATGTGTATCCGTAAGGCAGCCAAAAAAGTGTTTTTCATTTGACTAGTGATAATTACCTTTTCTCAACAGCTGACAATGTTCTAAGTAGCATTAAATAGGTATAATAATTAAGCAATAAGATACAAGCGTCAGTGCCTCTCTGGGAATTGTGGTTTTCTTCAGGTGTGCTGGGAGGCACAGGCTAAGAGGCCACAGACTTCCACCACCTGAGAAACCGAACAGGCCTAACATGCTGCCATCAGGGGTGCAACAAATAGAAAAAGGAGAAAAAGTTACACAGGGGAGAGGGAAGCTGGGGACTTACTGGTGTGACCACAACATTACTGAAATAGAGTTAAGCCAATGCCCATCTCCAGTATTTCCATCTCTTTCTTAATAATAAATATTCTTCGGTCACACTTTGTTCTGGTCACCTAGGGCTGCTCTACCTATAGCTCGTGAAAATGGAAAATTGGGCTTTTTGTCCTCTGAATCATCTTTATCCATTTTTAAATGTCCAATCAGATGTTCTTCAAGATGGACCTGCTTCAACTCTCTGCGAACAGGAAATGTCCAGTTTTGACATGGCTGGCGTGGTGATCAGTCATGCTGTGAGTTGGGTGGCCTGTGCATGACTGTTTCCTGCTGGCACCAATTCCATTCCCGCGGGTCACCTCAGGGAAGGCTGACCAACATGCCATCGGAATCCTCCCATAGATCTTCCTAGAGAAAGTAGTGCTTGCTACACACACTTTGTGTTTAAAATAAGAAATCATCCATTTTGTGAGAAAAAATCATGCCTCTTTATCTCAATAGAGGCTTCTTATTGGGTGACCAAAAAACAAAACAATGTATGAGAATTATTAACACCTGATAAATTGCTCTAATACATAGATTCTTTACAAATCTAATGTCTGTCACACTGATGAATAACATCACGTTCTACTCAGATCAATAACATTAATACTGCCATGGTAACAGAAGGGAGAAAGGCAGAGAAAGCCTTAAAAAAGAACAAACAAAATAAGACCTATATGCAATAATCCCTTGAGTGACAGTGACATTTGGTAGTACAAATTTTCCTAAACAGCTTGGAATTACCACATCACCATTTATTACCACTGAGTGGTAATAAAAAAAAAAGCATTAGCATACTCAGAAGCATGTGCAAACTGATGAGAAACTTACTAGCTTCTTGAGGCCTGGGCAGGAGGATCATTTAAGGCCAGGAGTTCAAGACCAGACTGGGCAATGTAGTGAGACCTCATCGCCCGAAAAAAATAAAAACATTTTTCGGTGTTGAGGATGTTGGTACGCCTGTAGTCCCAGCTATTCAGGAGGTTGAAGTGGGAGGATCACTTCAGCACAGGAGTTAAGGCTGCCATGAGCTCTGATTGTACCACTGCGCTCCAAGCTGGGCAACAGAGTAAGACCCTGTCTCTTAAAAAACAAAAACTTTTTAGCTTTCTAAATATTTTAGTATCACCTTCCATTCCCACTCATTCAAAAGGTTGTGTTTTCTTTCATTTTAGGTACAATTTTTCTACCCCCCACCCCCCAAGCCTCTCTGTAATATGCCTCCATTATTCCGTGACTTGTTTCTGGCAGCACGTGCTGAACCTCTGGCCTCCTCCATCTTATTGCATCTTGAAAAGCCCCATGTTAGCCACTGATTTTCCAGGTCCAACAGGACCATCTTCTCTTTAGAGGCAGAAAGATACTATGGTCTTTCAGTGACAGCACAAGCTTTCGAGTCAGGCAAACCTATTTAAATTCTAGCTTTCCCTCCTAGGCCTGTGCAGCTGTGGCCACACTTCCTCCCTCCGAGCCTCCACCTCCCCAATCATAAATTGGAAGAAACCCTGAAAGACGATTGTAAAGTACAGTAACGTCTGAGTGAACTGTCAATAATGAGGGACTACTTTTTTCATTATGGGAAGGAAAGGCTTTACCAAATTGTCCTTTCTGTCACTCTTCTATTTCAAATTATTGCTCCTCTTCTTTTTCTTCTCACTGTCCATAATCTGCCTCAAATTTAAGGTAACATAAACACATTTGAAACTGGTAATATTTTACTATCTCCACCACATTTTTCTCCATCTATCAGAACACAAGAATTTCCTACATAGAGGAGATTCATGCAATAGCTTAAGGCATGTATCCTGGGACTCAATTCAGAAACTGATCAGATGTCCCTTGTAGGAAAACAGTGGCAGTTTAGTGGCAGGAATGCCATTTAGAGATCACTGAGAATGGGAATATAAAACAATGCCACATCTGATTGGAATCACAGGAAGAGCTTCTAAAAATTTTTACTATTATGGGAGCTAAAGTATTGCTGAGATTCTTCAAATCAGCATTCCTTCTTCCCAGAATGGGCAGCAACACTGCCCAGGTTCAAGTTCGGCATCTCTCACATAGTAGCTGTGTGACCTTCAGCCAGTTACTTCACCTCACTGTGCCTCAGTTTCCTCATTGCTAAAATGGGGATATTGCTAGTACTCTCTTCACGTGGTGGTTATGAAAATTCAGTGGGTTTAAAAGGTAAGTGCTTAGAAGAGGAGCTGGTATACAGCAAGCACCCTCTAAGCTGCTGCTACAACAGTGATAAGAATTACAATGATGATTATTATATAGTTGTTACATCTTACATAATTATATATTATATAATAACAATTATTGCAAGAGGTGTCAGGAAATTTTTACATGGTAGCAAGAAGTTTAACACAACATTCAGTGCTGTCAAACTGTGGAAATTAGGGAATCAAGGAAAGGGCCAGAACCAAGAATTCTTGAAACACAAAAGCAGAGGCCAGGATCCCTGGCCGGAGAGGCTAAAGGATGGTTGAGCTTCTTACAGCAAAGACCTTAAGATTGTGTGTGCTGAATAGTCAGATGTCTTCACGAGAACACTTCTAAAATTAGTAACTCACTCTGACCCACACAGAAGTCAAGAGGAGGACAGAACATAACTGTATCTTGTGTCTTCTTCATTTTGGGATGGGTCCTGAAGGTTCTGCAGGACCTCTATCCATACCAGGACACCTGACAATTATATTTCTGACAGAGAGTGATGCCTTGCATATGATAGCCAAATTTTAAAATCTGTTTAGAAAAGAGAAGAAAACGCGTATTAACAGACTAGCAGCAACGTTGTCTTACAGTGTAAGTCAATAAAATCCCTGTCTCCTGGTTTCCTCATGTTGTAAATGGTAATAACCACCCTTGATAACCACTTAACAGAGGGATTGGAGAGTGCCAGCTAAAATTTGCAAAGTACGCTTGAGGTTGCAATTATGTAAACATAGAAATGATCTCTCTTTTAAGAATCAATTTTGAGCGACTTAAATCAATGTGTTAAGGACAAAAGCTTCATAAAACGCATGAAAAATTGGACTTAGATACCATACTTTGAAATCAACCATCAGGATTACAAATGTCACGTATGCACAGACTGTTACCAGCAGAGAAGTTCAGAAGTAAATACACAGCATTTGAAAACCTAATCCTCAATGCATGATGCTAGTCAATAATGGGAAGCCACTGCAAATACGGAAACTGACAGGCCAAGCAAAGCAAATATATTTTTACTTAAAAGGTGAATTCTTTCTGTATATTTTCTACAGGGCTCCTATAAGTCATTTAAAACATTCAGTTCCGAATGGCCACTTTAAACAGAAAGAATGATGCTTTGGATCTAAAACCAATGATGAAACAATGCGGACATTTACATGAATTATTTTTGGTTTTGTGATAATTTTCATTGTCAATATGACACTGAGAATGAAACTTCTTTTATGGCTTCAGGATCAACAGAATAGACACATGCTATTCTGAATATGAATATTTATAAGATTTTTCCTTAAAGAAAAAAATAGGAAATAATCAATAAATTAATTCTTTACAAAATAAGGTGCACTCAACCAAAAGAGAATGGAAGATCTGCTGATTCCTCACAAAGCATTAATGTTTCTAGCGTGCGTGATAAATACCTACGATCTTCCGCCCATTTTCCTTTTTGGAAGTTTATCACTGTATATTCTGTGACAATCTGCTCCCCTAGAATTTGGAATTTGAATAAAACAGATTTGGTTGCTTTTTCCTCAGATGAATGCACAAAGACCCTTAAAAAACAAATGTTCTTTAAAAGTGTGATGCCTGTATTTAACATTTATTAAAGATATAGCATCTACCAAAAGATTTTCAAGTTGAACTCTAGGTATTCCACCCCAATTCTACAATAGAAAGTTAAGTATGATCAGATTACAAAGTCCAGGAAAAGCACAATAAGAATGAAGAGATAGAGAAGGAAGATTGCCCCATAAATAAAATATAAAATAATCCCCAACCCCTTTACCAAAACCAAGTAAATTGCCTTCCCTCTACCCCCTTTTTAAATGCTGGGAATGACCCACTTTAACCTAGGCATATTGGTATAAAAATAAAAGCAAGAAAATCTAGCTTTCTTGATGTATTTACATGAAAATAAACACATAGGCATAGCTAATAGCTCACTCTAATTTCTCTCTAAGCAGAGCCTCCCGTACAGGTTTACTATTACATTCAGAGACATGCATTTTTAAAAAATACTATTTACTCTGCCACTTCATCTCCAAATTTGTCATCTGACTATATTTATGCAGCTTCATTAAACTAATCCCCAGAAGGGTCCCACGTCATTTAGCTTTTGACAACCTGAACAGCTCACTGACCCTGGGTCATCTGCATGACCCAAGCCAGCCACAGAATTAATAACAGAATTTCCCTACCAACCAGGGCAGGATCAAGGATGAGAGCAGAACCCGATGACTCTTCTCAGACCTAATTATGTCAGGCTTCCCTGTTCAGTAAACCAAAACAGGGAGAGAAAACTGAGAAGAAAGGCTTTCCACCAAGATAAATTCTGCATGCTCCTGGTTCATTCGATGAATAAGGAGTTGGAAGATCCAGAAAACTAGGATGATGGAGACGGAACTGACTGGGTCCATGCTCCGAGCTCCCACAGCCTGTAGACCAGCGATCAGCCCACACCAACAGTCCTTGCTCCCGGAACACACATCCCTCCGATCCAGAGGCCGTCGTGACCCACTTGTTTGCTTCCTTAGGGGCCACAACAATGCCCAACCAAATATTTGGACAAATGAGAAACTAATTTGTTGAGTAACATTATCAAATGTACTTTGCACTTACACAGGGTTCTAATAAACTAAATCACATTTATATGCATTACAAGGGGAACTTACTACAATGAATTATGTTGCTAAGTGAAGAATGACTACTTAACTAATCTATTTTGTAAATATGTATGTTGGGTTTGGTAAAAGTGAGATATATTGACAACAGTTTGGCTTTCTATCAAGCTGAATTTGGAGTAAGATATTTTGAATTAGGGTCATTTATTAAATTTCAGAGCCTCTAATCTCTCAGCATGATCAAGAGTGATCAAGATAGATGGAAGTAGGCCAGGCGCAGTGGCTCTCGCCTGTAATCCCTGCACGTTGGGAGGCCAAGGCAGGCGGATCACTTGAGGTCAAGAGTTCGAGACCAGCCTGGCCAACATGGCGAAACCCAACTCTATTAAAAAAACAAAAATTAGCTGGGCGTGGTAGCTGACACCTGTAATCCCAGCTACTTGGGAGACTGAGGCAGGAGAGTTCCTCCAACCCAGGAGGCGGAGATTGCAGTGAGCTGACATAGCACCACTGCACCCTAGCCTGGGCAACACAGCGAGATTCCATCTAAAAAAATACAAATACAAATAAAGATAGATGGAAGTAAAGCAATTAATGTTTAGCAACTGGCCTACTTTTTCATGTTAGGGCAAAATAAAACTTCAAAATTCCCTAGGAATTTTTTGTTAAAGCTTTCAAAAGTTTTCATTTCTTCATTCTGAAATAGATTTCCTCCTTTCAAAATTACACTTTTCTTTTAAAATGTGCCCTAGATTTTCCTCGTCTTGTGAATTACGGCATTTTAATCCTAAGTAGTGTATATAGTTTCAAAATTAATAGTGATTTTGGTTGTTGAAAGCAAATGAACAGTTAGAAAATTATGTGATGGTGGATTCTATTCATTTTGTCAAGCAGTTTATTTCCACCGTATCTGGGAAGTTTTCTCTGATTACCCCAGACACCTACCACAGTGGATGGCACATTTGTTACGCTGACTGAAATCCTGAGCAGGTGAATGGCCCACTCTTGCAAAATGCTATGCTGCTCACTAAACAAGATAACAGGGACAAACAGAAGATAGTACAGAGCACGGGCTTTAGATATCTCAGTTGTTGAATAATTTAACTTCTCCAACTCTCCTTTCGCTCCTTTGGAGAACACTATTATTATCATTATTATTATTATTAACAACAATATGTGAGATAACATATTCTTAGCTGCAGCCAAATTCCTATTAGCCACTCAAAAACTGTGACCTCTTCCCTTACTCGCACTTGTTCCAACATGCACAGTCGGGTACAGTGATGTAGACTGTGGCGCGCTGGGGCTGTAGGGTAAGGAAAGAAGTGCATTCAGAGTAGATGCATTACCTCCCACACTTCCAAGATAACCAAACGTGAGTGAACCAGGCCTCTCTGACCAGCTGACTGGGTGTGAGTGCCGGGAATAGGACACTGATTTTAGTCCTATGGAAATCAGTTCCCAGATGCTCTGCTTGGCCTCTGTGTCTCAGTTTCATAGTTTCAGAGGAAGACAATACTAATAATTCATCTTGCATAGTATATATGAAAAGAAGTATCTATTTCATGTTTTAAAGGTCATTGAATATATAACAGCTAGATAGTTAAAGCAAAATACCATATTCATCAGTGAAATAGAAAAGTTTAGCAGCATTCATCTGTTCTCATTTTAAATTTACCACAGTATGTAAATTAGAGGATTTAAAAAAGCATCAGGCAAAAATCTGAGCTAGGTGCGAATGAAAAGCACAATCAGAAGCAAATTTGTGACTGCTTGAAGTTAAGAGTTTGCCAAATGGGATGGTACTTAGATTTTACTACTAATCTGAGTTTATGTAAAGCCAACAGAAAGATCCCAATGATTGTTATATACCCAGAGTAGGAATTTGCTGCTAAACTGCTGGAGAATATCGGTCTCAGGTTGGCTTTTGTAAACATCTTATTTTATGTGCTGAAATTATCACAGGAATACTACACACTGAGCTGAACTTTAAACACTCAGTCCCAGTATTATATACACAGCCTGAAGAAAATAAACCAAATAAAATTTGGATTAGTGGCTGAATTACCTGATTTTAAAAATATTTTGCTGCAGTTGAGAGAAACTATTTAGCCAGGAACAGCAGTTATTCTATCAACTTAACATTTCAAGATAACGATTGATGGCAAAATGAGATAACCTGATCATTTGAAACGGGATTTTCTTACATCCAGAACATTCACACTGTATCAGAAATGTACAGAGGCGGGTTTGTGATTCACACTCTTGTAGAGCTCAGTGGGCCAATATGTTACATTGAGACATCAGCCTACTATTTAAACAGCACCCTGTCTGGTTTCTATGGAACAAACTACCTTCAAAAACAAAATGAACCATACTAAACGAAGCCAAGGGAAAGTCAAGCTCAGGAGTGCTGCCATAGTCTCGACTCTGAGTCAGGAGACCTGGACTTTTATGTTGCACTGACTCTGCAGTCTTGGGTTGGGGCCTCAAGCCCACCAAGAAGAGGGTAATTTACAAGCGACTGCAGAGTACAGCTGGTTGGACAGGGAGACAGATGCCCACCTGAGTGCCAATCGAAACCTGCTCCAAATTTTGCGATCCCCAGTCTGAATTCCCAGAGTCCTAGAATACTTTTGATTACTTCATGCACCCTCAAATAACATCATGATATCTCATCAACTCCAGAAAAGGAGAGTCATAAGATCAATGTATTTTCTACCTCATAATGCCTAGTCATTCTGAACACTACACTTTGTGAGTGCCTACTATGTTCCAGTCACTGTACCGGGCAGCAGGAAACCAGTGATGAGCAAGACAGATGAAGTCCTTGCCTCGTGGCACTCACAGTACAAAGAAGGAAAACAACAGAGTGAGGGGAGTCACTCAGTTCCTCAATGTTTTGAGAGGCTG